CAAACTTGCGAATCAAGAAGCAAAAGCTTTCACAAATGGATGCACCCTCATGAACAGTTTGCACACGTCGAGTCTTGGCTGTGGAACTTCAAACTTAGAGCTGGGCTGTTCTCAAGTTCTGCGCGGAGGTTCTCCATCTCGGTTGCAGAACGCCACTGGAAAAACAACTAACCCTGGATCAGCCCAAGAATCCACAATACCTAAATCCGAAACCCTACACCTGGGGTGTAAGGGATTTTTCCGTGTGTCTACATGTTGCTCCCACTGCCAACCTAAGCTTCCATGGGATGCTGGGATTGATGCAAGCCCTGATTTAAGATATGCTTTCTGCTTGACCAGGCTGCAACCCCAAGAAGGATTCCTCAACTCCAGGGTTTAAGGTTTAGGGCTGATAGGGCTTATAGGGCTTCTAGGATTTATAGGGCTTAAACCCTAAACCCTAAACTATTAGGGCTTTAGGGGATTTAGGGGATTCCCCACCTCTAAAAAAGGCATTGGGCTTGCATGGGCTGGGAGCCTTGAGCTTAGATCTAAGGATCTTGAAGGTCGTCATTGTTTATGATGTAGGCATCTTCTAAACCCAGAACCCTACACCCTAAACCCAAAAGCCCATAAATTAAATCCTCTAAACCCAGAACCCTGAACCCTAAACCCAAATGCCCTGAACCCTAAAGTCTAAACCCTGCAATGGCTCACAGTGGGGGCCCAGGCTTCGAGACAGGGCCCCGACTTTCCTCTTGAACGGAGTCTGTAGGGGGGGTTCTATGTTAACTAGATTGTGGGAGGCTTGTGATTCGGAATTTGGGTTTTGGGACTTTAGGATTTAAGGGCTTCAAGACGTCAGCGTCAGAACCACTCAGGGAAGGGCGCAAAAGTGGCCGACGTTTTATACCAGCTCGAAGACATCCCTGGATGGTGTATGCGGTTGTGATATACTCCGCAACATCTGCCATCTATCACAGGGAGTGCCACCCTGTACCCCAAAAAGTTATCCTTATTCGGACCAGCATTCTCAGAATGTCGACAAATCAAAAGACATTCAAACAAGACCTAGCTACACCTCGCACCCCGAGTTCCAGACCTTCCTCGCTTCCACGTGAGGATGTCTTCTTCGCCGCATTTGCATCCGCCTACCTCAGCAGAATCCAACGGGCTGGGAGCGTCAGAGTTGGACACCTGGTTTGAGACACCCGCTCAAGCATTTCGATCCAGGACCCCGCGACCTTTTCTTCAGCCAAGGTGCTGCGAGGTCTCTACTGTCAAGCAGAAGGCTTCTAAAAAGTGCGCCACCGCACTCCCCTGTGAGAGCAGGATGTGTGCGCATGTAAGGCATCTCCGTGCCTCTTCACCGGAGGAAGCTGATGAAGTCCATGGCAGCACTGTGCACAGCGACGATGGAGTGATGGGCCCGTACGTACCACCCGAAAGGTAGGTTCAAGGAGTGCAACACAGTGGCTGGGCCAACCATAAGCGCGTAGAACCCCTCCGCCCAGGACAATCGGGATTCGGGGTCGCGGCTCTCGTAGAAGCGCACGACTGCATCGCCGCTGATGGCCATAGAAGAAACGGCCACGCCTTCCACAAAGAGCCGGCCCGAGGTTGTGAGGGGTGCAAAAGCACCCCTGGCCATGACCTTCCTCAAGCCAGTCACTCGACTGAGCTGCGTCTGCTCGAGGCCAGGGGACTCCTCCGAAAGGCTCTGGCTCAGGGCCAAAAGAGTGTCTCCCACCCGCACCTCCTGGGCACGCGCAAGCTGCCAGGTCGTCTTGCCGGCTGGTAGGAGAAAGATCAGGTGGAAGCTGGACATCATCAGTGGCCTCCCTGTCTTCTCGGAAACCTCATGGGAGATTTCCACGTACTCCCGAATGATGTTGTCCGGGAAGCCATCGAACATATGACAGTCCGCTAGGAAGTCCTTGGACTGCAGGGAAGCGCCTTCTTCGAAAAATTTCGGCGACCATAGCGCCATACCCCTTTGCAGCTTCTCCACCTCAATGAATTTGCCCCCTGCCTCTGCCACAAGAGAACCAGCGGGGAAGCACTCTCCAGTGCCCCCAGTGCTTTCCAGCTCCAGGAAGAAGCCCTGCATGTTGGACACCTGCTCCCAGCAAACCTGGTCCTCACGGCACTGCCCAACGCGACGCTTCACTGCCTCATTCTGGGTTGCTGTTAAGGAACTTAAATCAAGTTACTCTATTGGGGAAACCCTATTATTTACTATATATATATATATATATCCATTATGGTAACTTAGTTTAAGTTCCTTAACAGCAACCCAGTTCACTGCCTCCGTGCCAGAGGCAGCATTGGAATGGACCTCTGCTTTTTGATGCAAACCCAAGCTCTTGAGACTCTTGCTCTTGGCCTGGCCAAGGACCTGCTGGAGGGCCAACGAGGTGCCCTCCAGTGCGGTGTGGTCGAAGTGAGTCTTAAGAAGATGGCCAAGCTCTGTGCAGAATTCGCCCATCTCAGGTTCGGGTGCATCTCGAACCGCATCGCCGCCGGCGACAGTGCCTCCGAGGAAGTCGAAAAGCGTCTCGCCCATCGATCCACAAAGGTCATCGGAGTACTTCGCGGAACAGCAAGTTCCGAAGCCCACTTTCCATGCGGTCCAGTTGGCCTCGTAAAACTTCTGCTCCTCCTCTACGGTGTCAGTATCGCCGAGGCAGGTCCGTATGAACTTCTTGCAGCCTTCATGGTCAGGGTGGCCGATGGAAAAACGCACGGAGCCGTGCTGCAGGAGACCTGCACCTGTCACAGCCTTGCAGCCCTCCGAACCCTCACACGCGTGCGCGGTGTGCACCGAAAGCACGGCTGCGAGGGCTCCGAGGACTCCGAGGGCTCCGAGATGGAACATGATGCTTCTGACGAAACGAGCAGTTGAGAAGTGACTAAAATTTGTTGAGTTCTAGGCTGAGCCCAAAATGTGCAGCGAGTTGCAACGCCATCAAGCACCTGTGGGACTAGCACAATAGAATCAGCGCTCTTCTACGGAAGGGACTCGGCCCCCAGCAATCACAATTCCTCGCCTCACCGCTCTGTCCTTATCCACAACATGTTCTCGGCTAACAAGAAAGCAAGCTTCGGCTCTGGCTAAAGAAGTCAGATTTTTGTTGTTCAACCCTCTGCTCAGCGTCACGAAGTATAAAGCTAGGCAAGGATTCCTGACTGCTAGAGCTGGCACAAAGGACATCGTAGGGCCTTGGTTG